ATTTATAAAAAATTATACAAATAAGTTCTTCATTAATTACTTATTACCAAACTCACATAACAGAAGAGTAATTTGGTTCACAGGGACAGGGACCATTCTGTCTTATCTTCTTTGATGTTTACAATTAATTATTGAACGCATATAGGTCCATCTTCATAGATCTAGCCAACCAAATCTAATTCCTAATCTTTAGTCGCACAATATTTGCAAATTAAGGTCATTGAAACTGATTAAATCCCATGGGGTTCATGGATACTTGTTGATTCATGATCCCAAACTTTGTCGAATATTGGTCAGTTCCTATGACGCTGGTATCAAAATCAAAGCCTGAATTGCAGTATGTATTTTCACTCAAAAGCGGCTGTGACGCTGGCCCCATGAATTCCAAATCCAGGAAATTCGAAATTGAACATGTTCTTGGAAATTTCGTCATAATTTCTTGGTGATCAATCCCTTTTATATCGATTTGGGTATCGAATTCTTCCATTTTTTGGTAAAAAACTTTCCCTGCGGATGCATGTTTTTTCTTGTAAATCCTACACAGGACCCAATCATCCAACTGCAACAAAACATAACCTCAAATTTAATTATTATAATCTATATGTAAAGAAAAAAAATTAAATTTAGTTAATTAAAGGACAAAAAACATGCTTACTCTCATTGATCCATTTGGCCTTTTCACTTGCTTTTGTGAATCACTCAAGCGGTATTCATGCATGATCCAGTCAGTCTTAGCTCCTTTTGGTGGCCTACCCTTGTAAAATACAAGCGATTTCTTCACCCCTACATATTTAGCCCCACTATATATGGCCTTGTCCACGCCCGTTGCCTTCCAGTAACCTGAGACGGCAGCCCTGTTGGGGCGCACCCCATTAGGGTACTTCCGGTCACGAGGGGTAAAGAAGTACCATTCACTTTCTCCAAACTCCGCCTTTTCTACACATCAAATGAATCAAATAAACAATTAGAACGCATAATTAGAGAATCTATATATATATATATGCATAATAACCAACGTTTAGGATATTTATGTTATCTTAAAAAAAAAAAAAAATCGATACCAACCCGGCAATTGCCATGGGTCGAATTTGTAAATATCGACTTCTGGGATGATTGAAACGGGGCATGGTTGTGAGGTAGCTTGGTTGTGGAGGTAATACACGATCAGCTCTTCGTCGGTCGGGTGGAATCTGAAGCCGGGAGGAAGATTTGGGCTGGTATGGGATACCATTGTAGATGAATATTGCATAAGCAAACTAATAAGAGGGACAATTAATTAGTTTGCTAAGCTAAGAAGTTAGAGGGGAAGGGAGAAATATGGGTGTTTGAAATGTTTACAAGGGGAGGAATGGGGCTTATATTGTGTGAGGATTTTGTCGTGTGGTGCCTTTCTGCTTGCCTCTGATTGGTGGACGGATTGACTTTTTTGTTTTAATTCCTTCGTATCAGAATCATGTGAGCGTGCAACGTGCCGTGATTGACTGGGTTAGTTGCACCTCCTGGAGGATGACGTTTAAGTTTTGGTGAGGGGATAAGGTTTAGAATTTAGACGTCCCGAATGCTTTGTTTATGTTTAGTCGAATCTTTTTTTTTTTT